AAGTAGTAGCGGGGAGTACTGGGTGATTTGAGAAAATGCGACTAGCCAATCAGCGCAAAGCTGACAAGCTTATGTTGTAAACATAACCCTCCGACGGGAGGAATTTGCACAGCAAAACTCGACCCAGTGGAGTAGGCTGCCTGTCATTTTATTCTATCCGAAAAATCGAAGCTAAAACGCAAAGAGAAATTGAAAATCTTTATAAAATAGCTTTTAAATGTCAATCAAATATTTATCGTTATAGAAAGAGAATTTTATCTTAAAAATGAAAAAACAAATAACTTTTTCTTTAATACCACGAGACTCCCCTCCCTGATAAAAATAATTGTTCTGTGTTCTACTCGGGTTCTCCATTGCATGCGAAGCAATTACCGACTTCACGAAGACTTCAGTAGGTCGTTGAAGCGACGTTCAAGTCAAAAGTATTATGAGGAACCATTGCAAATCATGTTTTCTTGGCTCTTGTTTCCTCTAAGCTTTGAGGTATCTACAACATCACTGGAAGAGCTAGAGCAGCTTAGGTCCACGTATTCCAATAGAGTTAAAGCGTTTAATTTTTTGGGTACAAACGGTCGTAGTTCATTCTTTGTCGCATTTTCGGCAATAAGCCGCAAGCGTTCTCGACGATTTGACGTTATGTAACAGGCCAGTTACACATTTACTAGCTCTGACCTTACAACGAGAGCTAGAACGGTGACTGAAGTTTTTCGTGTAATGTCTTGATAGCGACTGTTTATGTCGAAACGACTCAAAACAAAATTCCATCGTGAAAAAAGTTCGACTAAATTCCCTTCTGAAAAACACGTGTGTATTTAAGGTGGAAAATGTTTCATATGAGCATTCAATTCTTAAAGGTTTAATTCTATAATCATTTTGTTTAGTTATGTAAATAAATTTAACACGACTTGTAGTGTTTGTCTGAGTGAAAGGCGAGCTGCGGGTTTTCCCTTTTCTTTATTTACACTTTCAAATATGACCGCTTAACAAAAATGCACGGGCTCACTGGCTTACAACCTTGGCGAATTCATATGCAGGCCTGGTCGCAAATCAATCACCCAGAGTGGTCTGTAAGTAGTAGCGGGGAGTAGTGGTCAGTAAGTAGTAGCGGGGAGTAGTAGTCAGGAAGTAGTAGCAGGGAGTAGTGGTCAGTAAATAGTAGCGGGGAGTAGTGGTTAGTAAGTAGTAGCAGGGAGTAGTGGTCAG